GCTGGGAACACCAGGGATCTGCCTGGGAACACCAGGGATCCAGCTGGAGCACCAGGGATCCAGCTGGGAACCAGGGATTCACCTGCAAACACCAGGGATGGATCCTGCTGGAGCACCAGGGATGGATCCAGCTGCTCTGCCCCCAGGGACTGCACGCCTGCAGTCTGCAGGTCCCACCCCTGAGCACCCCCAGGACCCCTCCTCTGCCTCCTCCAAGCCCTGTTGTGGCAGGGAAGCACCACTGCCTCCTCCTCCTCCTCCTCCCAGCCCAGCCCTGCCTGCCCCAGGGCTCCCCCAGGCTCAGGCCACCCTGCTGGCCTGTCCCTTGTCCTGGCAGCCCCAAGGAGAGGACCCAGCTGAGGCCAAGGAGGGAATGTTCCCCTCCAGCTGCCAGTGCTGCTCTCATGAATGCAGCCTGGAGCAGAGGGGGCACTGCCACCTCCCCCTGAGCTCTGGGCTCCCGGGCAGAGCTCGGGTGCCAGGATTTTACCCTCAGTGAGCAAGGCTCTGCATTCCCCACGGCTGAAGCCCAGGACTGCTCTGGGGCCGTTACTCCAGCTGGCCAAGCCGTGTGCATGGCAGCCCTGGCCTCCAGCTGGCACTGTCCCCAGCTGTCACCCACGCCCCAGCACATCCCCCTGCTCACAGGGTGGCACAGCACAGCACCAGCCCACGGGCTGGGCCAGAGCAACAGGGCCAGGGGGGCTTGGAGCAGCTGGCCAGGCTGCCCTTCCTGAAAAAGACCCCAACACCTCCTATCCTGCAGTGACCCCAACACCTCCTGCCCTGCAGTGACCCAAACACACACCTCCTATCCTGCAGTGACCCCAACACCTCCTATCCTGCAGTGACCCCAACACCTCCTATCCTGCAGTGACCCCAACAACACCGGGGATCTGCCTGGGAACACCGGGGATCCAGCTGGAGCACCAGGGATCCAGCTGGGAACCAGGGATTCACCTGCAAACACCAGGGATGGATCCTGCTGGAGCACCAGGGATGGATCCAGCTGCTCTGCCCCCAGGGACTGCACGCCTGCAGTCTGCAGGTCCCACCCCTGAGCACCCCCAGGACCCCTCCTCTGCCTCCTCCAAGCCCTGTTGTGGCAGGGAAGCACCACTGCCTCCTCCTCCTCCTCCTCCCAGCCCAGCCCTGCCTGCCCCAGGGCTCCCCCAGGCTCAGGCCACCCTGCTGGCCTGTCCCTTGTCCTGGCAGCCCCAAGGAGAGGACCCAGCTGAGGCCAAGGAGGGAATGTTCCCCTCCAGCTGCCAGTGCTGCTCTCATGAATGCAGCCTGGAGCAGAGGGGGCACTGCCACCTCCCCCTGAGCTCTGTGCTCCCGGGCAGAGCTCGGGTGCCAGGATTTTACCCTCAGTGAGCAAGGCTCTGCATTCCCCACGGCTGAAGCCCAGGACTGCTCTGGGGCCGTTACTCCAGCTGGCCAAGCCGTGTGCATGGCAGCCCTGGCCTCCAGCTGGCACTGTCCCCAGCTGTCACCCACCCCCCAGCACATCCCCCTGCTCACGGGCTGGGCCAGAGCAACAGGGCCAGGGGGGCTTGGAGCAGCTGAAAAAGACCCCAACACCTCCTGCCCTGCAGTGACCACCTTCCCACTCACCACTACCTTCCAAAGAGCACTGAGGGGCCTTTTGTGACACCAGCCATCCCAGCACGCCCAGACACACCTGTCCAGCCCTGTGCACCGGGGTCTGTCCCTGCCCAGCTCTGTCCCTGGGGTCTGTCCAGTTTATCCCAGCTCTGTCCCTGGGTCTGTCCAGCTCACCCCAACTCCCCTTCCTGACCCAGCTCACCCCAAGCTCCTCTGCAGGCACTCAGGGCAGGAGGAACATTCCAAAGCACGGTGGGGTTACCCCACTCCTGCCCAGCTGAAGCTGCATTCCCCTTTCTGTTCATTCTGAACTGATTATTTGGGTTTCATGCAGCAGCTCAGTCAGAAGGGGCCTCCAAAGATCAGCTGGTTCAGCTCCCGTGGGAAGGGAGCCCAATTCCCAAAGAGAAGCAGACAGCAGAGGTAGCAGTGCTGCAGCACCCACGGCTGATGACCAAACCCAGGAGCTGCCCCCCACCCCCAGCCCCTTCCTGTTCACTCCAAATCTCACTTAGAGCCACCCAGGGCAGCTCTGCCATCTCATTTTCATTCCTGTGCAAAGCCCCCTTGACTGCCTGCTGCCCAAACCCCACCTCCAACACAAACAGCATTTCTGAGTTATTTCATGGAGTGAGAAGCTACCAGTCCTTCACACGCTCAGCTTTGGACCACTGGAAAAGCACTGACTATCCCAGGATTTTTCATTTATGCTTCATTTAAACCACACTTCCAAGAGCTGCACTTTGCACCCCACTGTCCTCCAGTTTTTAGGAACATGCTCATTCCTAGATCTTTCCCACCACTGAAATAAAAAGTACCTCTGCAGCAGGTACCTTAGTTTGCTACTCCTATTTACCTTCACAAAAGAAAAAGCAGAATTTCAAGGAATTGTGGACATTCTGGCATGTAGCCATCAATTTGCAGCATTTAAGAACAAAAACCAGAAACCTGATCCTTCTGGGTGTCATTTTGTCACACTAAAGTTTAGCTAATGTAGAATCAAAGACTTGTTAGGGCAGGGCTTAAACCACCCTCAGCATCAAAAATCACCTGAGGGAGGAAATGGCCGAAGCTGATAAAGCTGATATGAGGTGGTAAGAGGCCTCAGTCTGTGGGCTACAGAATTCCTCCCCCTGTTGCACTCTGAAGCCCAAAATACCTTTAAATTACCACAACCCGGGACCCTGGCTGGGACATCACTCCCAGCCTCTGCTCAGTGAGCAAAAACTTCAGCGAAGTGCTGAGAAGTTTTTAAAGCCAATTTGAACCCCAGTTCCCTGCAAATCTGTGCTGCCTTCTGTCACAAGGTGTGACAAACCCCCCAGAGGGCAGGATGGTGAGCAGGGCACAGCAGCACAGTGATTCCTGGCTGCTGCTGGGCTGGGCCCTCTGGACACCCCTGGGAACCTGCAGCCTGGAGCTCCCAGCGGAGCTGATCCTCTGCAGTGAGCTGAAATCACCCAGGACGGGCAGGAGCACACAGCACAGGGGGCAGGGCAGCAGAGGCTGCTCTGGGGAGCAGCAGCTGAGCTGGGCTCAGCTCCAGCTGGGACTGCCAGGGCTCAGCTCGGGTTGTCAGAGCAGCACTCGCAGCCAGGGCAACACAAACACGCAGGGCAGCAACGGCACCGGGAGCAGCAGCACCCAAAATGCACAGATGAACGGGCCTGGGCCGAGCAGAGCCACGTGCACCAGAAAAGGAGGTGAAACCTCTGCTCTGCAACAGCCCAGCCTGGAACCCAGGGCTGGGACCTGCCCTGCAGCTGCTCTGCAGGAATGCATTTCTGTTTAGGTGCACAGGAGGACAAGCAGCAGTGCAGCCAGGGCAGCTCCTGCTGCTGCAGGCTGATGGAAACTGCATTGAAGCTCCACTGAGTGCCATGGCCATCAGCCAGCCTTGCCCTTGGGGTGTCCCAGCTACTCCCATGGCTGTTCCCATCCTTTGTTATTTCTCCTGGTAAGGCTGAACCCGCACCAGCCTGTCCTTCCTCCGGGGAAGGTTTCTAGGAGTTGATAAGGCAGCTACCTCTGCTTTCCACCTCTGGTTTCTGCTGCACCTCTGAGCCCCTTCCTGGCTCTGGGGCTGTCACACCTTGGGATTTTCCCTCTGAGAACAGAGGACAGTCACCACCAAGTGCCAGAACCACACAAGGACCTGCCCAACGCTCTCAAAGGTGCCAGCTCAGCAGGACACTGGTTCCTGCATGGCTCTGGTGGGACACCACTTCCAGGGATCTCCTCCCAGGCTCCAGCAGGGATCTGAGCACAGCTGAGTGCACAGAGCTGTGGGTGAATCCTCCACAGAGAAAAGGAGGCTCCAGGGAGACCTACAGCTCCTCCCAGGACTTAAAAGTAGCTTTTAAAAAAGAAGAACAACTTTTTACACTGGCAGATACTGGAAGGACAAGGGGGAAGTGCTTTAAATTAAAAGCTAAGGGATTTAGAAGAGATTTTGGGAATAAATCCTTCCCTGCCAGGTGGGGAGGCCCTGGCACAGCTGTGGCTGCCCCTGGATCCCTGGCAGTGTCCCAGGCCAGGTCAGAGGGGACTTGGAGCAGCCCGGGACAGTGGGAGGTGTCCCTGCCACGGCAGGGGGGCACGGGGTGGGTCTGAAGGCCCCTTCCACACAAAGCACGCCGTGATTGCTGAGTGCAGCCCCTGGCCCTGACTGCCCTGCAGGGGCTCAGCCAGCTGCACTCGCTGTCCGGGGCAGAACCGGGCCCAAGGGAACACAGCAACTCATCATTATCAACTGTAATTAGCACAGTAACAGCACACAGCCTTCTCCCGGGAGAGCAGGGGGAGCCAGTGCGACCCTTCTCCCGGGGACAGAGCAGGGTCCCGGGGGACACCGAGGGACCGGGGACAGAGCAGGGCACCGGGTGACACCGAGGGACCGGGGACAGAGCAGGGCACCGAGGGACCGGGGACAGAGCGGGGCACCGGGGGACCGGGGACAGAGCAGGGCACCGGGGGACCGGGGACAGAGCAGGGCACCGAGGGACCGGGGACAGAGCGGGGCACCGAGGGACCGGGGACAGAGCGGGGCACCGAGGGACCGGGGACAGAGCGGGGCACCGAGGGACCGGGGACAGAGCAGGGCACCGGGGGACACCGAGGGACCGGGGCACCGGGGGGCACCGAGGGACCGGGCCGGGCTCGGCCCAGCCGGGTCCCCCTTTCCGGGGGGGTGACCCCTTAAGAGCCCTCTCACGGGGCAGGAGGTGACACCGGCCGGGCTGCCCCAGCCCCAGCAGGACGAGGACCCGGCGTGAGGGACCCAGCGTGGCGCGGGGACCCGGGGACACGCACACCCACAGGGGCTCGCACACACGCACACAACCGCCTCGGACGGTGAGCGGCTGCTCCCGCCCGCCCGGCCCCGCGCTCACCTGAGGCCGCTGCTCCTGCTCCTCGTCCTCCTGCCGCTGGCCGTGCTCCATGGCGGCGGGCCGTGTGTCCCGGCGGGCCGTGTGTCCCCGCTGTCCCCGCGTCCCGCTCTCCGCCGGGGCCGCCCGGTCGCCAGGGACTCGCGCTCCCCCCGCGCGCGCACGCGCCGGAACCGCCCCCTCCCCAGGCCGCGATTGGTCAGCGAGGGGAGCGGGGCCGGGGCGCGAGCTCCGCCTCCCGCGCGGTGATTGGCGGGCGGGCGGCGGCGGGGCGGGGCTGCGGGAGCGCGCGCGCGCGCGGGGGTTTTGGCGGGCAGCGGAAGTGCCCGGATGGAGGCGGGGGCGGGGTCGGGGCCGGCGGTGACCGTGAGGGAGAGTGAGGGGCTGTGAGGGAGAGTGAGGGAGAGTGAGGGGCTGTGAGGGACCGTGAGGGAGAGTGACGGGCTGTGAGGGACTGTGAGGAGAGTGAGGGAGAGTGAGGGGCTGTGAGGGACCGTGAGGAGCCGGAGCGGGCGGGACCGGACAGGATGGACCTGCCAGCGGCTCCGACACCTTCCGCTGCCCGGGGAGCTCCGCCCAGCCCGGCCGGGGACTCTGCCGGGGATCCGGGGGCAGCCGCCGCCGGTAACGTGTGCCGGGAAAGCTCCCCGTAATGTCCGGTCCAGCAGGATCACAGCGTCGTGGGGCTGCAAAAGCTCCTCCGCACCATCCAGTCCCAGCTGTGGCCGATGTCCCTTGTCACCAGCCCAGAGCCCTGAGTGCCATCTCCAGCCCTTCCCCGGACACCCCCCGGGACGGGCACTCCAAGCCTGCCTGGGCAGCCCTGCCAGTTCCAGCCACCTCTCCTGTCAATAAAACCTTCCTGACGCTTGTGCCCTTGTCCTAACTCTGCCCTCTGGCAGTGGAGCCATTCCCCGTGTCCGTCCCGTGTCCCAGTCCCCGACCAGCTCTCCCGGAGCCCCTTGCTGAAGGATGGACACTGAAATCCCACTGAAATCAGGGATTTTGAGGCAGTCCTGTGTTAGCAGGAAATGAGGTGGGATTGTCCTGCATGGCAATTCCATTCATCTCGCTCCCAAGCTCTCCAGGGCAGTGCGGTCTCTGCTGGTGTGTCAGGAACCATTCCCAGCTGGATGGAAAGGACAGACTCAAAATGTGGGGAGATGCTCCATAGCCTGGGCAGGTGGGGAAGATGAGATGAACCTCTCCATGGACAGCTTTAGACCTGCATGTCAGTCCCGCATGGATCCCTGAAATCCTCCATGGATCCCTCATCCCTGAAATCCTCCATACTTCCTGATCCCTGCCATCCTGCATTGCTCCCTGATCCCTGAAATCCTCCATGGCTTCCTGATCCCTGAAATCCTCCATAGCTCCCTCATCCCTGAAATCCTGCATGGCTTCCTGATCCCTGCCATCCTGCATGGCTCCCTCATCCCTGAAATCCTCCATGGCTTCCTGATCCCTGAAATCCTCCATGGCTCCCTGATCCCTGAAATCCTCCATACTTCCTGATCCCTGCCATCCTCCATGGCTCCCTCATCCCTGAAATCCTCCATGGCTTCCTGATCCCTGAAATCCTCCATACTTCCTGATCCCTGCCATCCTGCATGGCTCCCTGATCCCTGCCATCCTGCATGGCTCCCTGATCCCTGCCATCGTGCATGGCTTCCTTTCATGTGCCCTGAGGGAGGGAGGAGCTCTGCCTTCCCCCGACACAGCCACACCGTGATCCAGTGGGAGGTGTCCCTGCCCGTGACGAGGGCGTTGGGGCTGGATGGTTTTTGGGTCCCTTCCATCCCAACCCGTGCCATTACTCCCTGGCCCTGTGATTAGCTCTCCCTGAGGCATTCAGGCACTGGTTAACACTCTGTGTTTCACCTGCTGCCAGTAAGGGGAAAAGAAGGAATTTCCCTTTAAAAGCAGGATTTGGAGTTATTTCCTATGGCTTTTGGCACCCCTGAAGCTGAAGAACAGGTGACAGCAGGGGCAGCTCCGTGACCTGACACTGTCATCCCTGCCTGGGGCAGGGACAGGAGCCCCAAAGCCATGGGCTGTGACACTGCCAGCCCTGGGCAGGGACAGGAGCCCCAAAGCCATGGGCTGTGACACTGCCAGCCCTGGGCAGGGACAGGAGCCCCAAAGCCATGGGCTGTGACACTGCCAGCCCTGGGCAGGGACAGGAGCCCCAAAGCCATGGGCTGTGACACTGCCAGCCCTGGGCAGGGACAGGAGCCCCGGGCCACGCAGGTTCCAGTGGCAGCCCCTCAGTCCCTGTCCCCCAGTCCCTGAGCCCCATCCCTGCAGTTACCCTCTCTGCTGAGGTGTCAGCAGTGCATGGCCAGCTCCAGGCTGCCAGCTCTGTGCCCAGGCAATAAATAACTGCAGCAGCTTGCACCCCCCACGAGCAGGGAAGCTGCAGGAACGGGAAAGTGGAGGTGCTTCCAGAGCATTTCCTTCTCCTGAGTCCTGCATTCTGCTGGCAGCAGCTATCTGCCCTGCATCCAGCAGAACATCTCCCAAAAGGCAGCGTCTGCACTGGCTCTGCAGTGATTTGGGGGTTGTTTTTCAGCAGCAGATAAATGTGAATGCTCAAATACAGCAAGGCAAACATTCCTTAAAATAATTAAGATGCTGACGAGAAAATGCAGCTTGATATTCACAGCCATCTCCTGTTCCAAATCCAATTAATTGTGTTGGGCTCAGCCTGTCCCAGTGCTCGTTTGTGCACATCCCTAAAAACCATCCATCCCCTCGGAGCTGCCAGGGAAGAAGGGAACAGCCCCCGTGGGGGTGCACGGCGGGGGTGCCTGCCTGGGGGGGAGCAGAGGCAGCAGGCACACAGCAAATCCCGCTGGAAGAGGCAGCAATTCCATGCTTTATTTCCCTGGCAGCCCCAGGAAGCCGGCTGGGTTCCAGGGCCGGCTCCAGCGGCGCCGGGGCGAGCGGCTGAGCGCAGCTGTGGTGCTGGGAACAGCTCCCGGTGGCACCCGGAGGAGCCTGCCGGGGACTGAAGGGCTCCTCTCGTCACACAAGCCCGAAATCCTGTCACTGCCTTTATTTTTAGCAGAGCAATTCACAGGCAGGGAGGGGAGGAGGAAGGGTTGGCTGAGTGTTTATCGCTCGCACATCACACAGGAAGCTGTTCACATTTTTATTAATTGACTAACAATATCCAGAGACTTACTCAGGCTGAGATGGAATCTGCTCAAATCCTTTCCAGTGAAATGTCACTTGAAATGAAAATGGCAGAGGAATTTTTAGAAAGGCCATCGCTGGGGGAGATTCTTGGAGAGAGAAGAACCTGCCTTCCCCCAAAACTCTGTCAGCCTCAGGGGCTTTTAAAGGTGACATGTAGTATATTAAAATACAGGGATTGATTAATGTGCTAATTGCAGGGGAGAATATAAAATACAATCGTGACTTCAAATACCTGGGAGAAAAAGAATGTTTGAACATCAGGCCCTGGCTGGTGCCAGTGACATGTTAATTGCCAAGTTTTCAACGTGAGGATTTCTGTGCTCCAAGGTAGTTGGAAACTCATCATTACTGGAATCTGATCAACAGGATTCCTCAGCTGCTCTGGAAAACAAATCTCTGCTGGTTTAGTGCCTGTGTGTTTCAGAGTCAGGTAACTTAGGAACACTGACACCTGACTGAGCCTTTTCCCCTGGTTTGTGATTGCAAAAGTGGCTATGATTCCATGGGAGAGATCCAGATAATCTCTGCATCCAGCTCCCGTTAAAAATGGAGAGGAGGAGGCAAGTGAGGGAAGGAAAAGTGTGTCAGAAGGGTGGGCAGCGAGGAGCCAGCTGGCACAGCAGCAGTGACGAGCAGGTGACTCCATCAGCGAGGGGCAGGCAGAGTTCCCAGCTGCAGGAGGAGCTGGGGTGGGTGTATTAGTGCCGGGGAAGGAGCTCAGTCTGGGGCTGCAGGACATGAAACCAGGAATTAGGAGAGGAGGCTGATGACAGGCAGAGCTCCTGAGCACAGCGCAGGCTCGGGGAGAAAAAAGGAGAAAAAGGGAATGGAAGCATGAATGGGGAGGCTGTGCTCCATGCTGGGAGCGGTGGGACACAGGGATGGGAGGCTGTGCTGGGAATGGTGGGACACAGGGATGGGAGGCTGTGCTCCATGCTGGGAGCGGTGGGACACTGCAGCACAGGGCACCCAGGCTGGGAGAGCCTCCCAGCCAAGCTGGGAGAGCATTCCAGCCAAGCTGGGAGCACATCCTTCTCCTGGCTGCCTGCAGCAGCACCAGCAGAGTGCCCTGATCGCTGCAATCCAAAGGCTGCAGGGTTTATTGGCTGATTTCAGCTCAATCAGATTGAGGGATAAACGGGATCTGGGCTTAGCTGAGGTTTCTGAGCCGAAAAGAGCAAATCAGGATTAAACCAGGGAAACAGTTTAATGGGATAGACTGATGTGAGGACCCTGGGCTCAGCAGCCCTCAGCAAGGCTCTCACTGGGGTGTTGAAGGGGCAATGGCAGCTGCCTCACAGTCCATAGCAGGGGATAGGATCATGGAAATGTCTGGGGTGGAAAACACCTTAAAACCACCCAGTGCCAGCCCTGCCATGGCAGGGACACCTCCCACTGTCCCAGGTGCTCCAGCCCCAGTGTCCAGCCTGGCCTGGGCACTGCCAGGGATCCAGGGGCAGCCCCAGCTGCTCTGGGCACCCTGTGCCTGTGTCCCTGTGCCGTGGGGCAAGTGACTCAGGAAGGTGCAGCCTGTGAGGGGACACAGCTCCTTCCAGTGAGCCCAGAAGGTGTCCAGGAAAATCCAGGTACTCTGGTAAGATGCCCAAAATTAGGGTGACTAAACACAGTTCTTGGGAACCTGGATCTAGAGAAAGCTTGAGATTCCTTCTCGTGAATGGTGCCTGAGTTGTTTAAAATTTGATTCCTTGTGCAGTGATGAAAGCCCTGCATTGGCAAGGGCTGGACCTGGGGGGATAACACCCTCCAGGAGGGGGCTGGGGATGAGCAGGAGCCTAAGAGAGGGAGCAGGAGGACACATCCCAAATGAAGCTTCACCCTGAGGGGAATGGGGATGAGCAGGAGCCTAAGAGAGGGAGCAGGAGGACACGAGGACACGTCCCCAGTGACACTTCACCCTGAGGGC